CACACACACACACACACACACACACACACACACACACACCTTGTCCAGTTCATCCAGGTTCCAGGTAGCAATCTATAAACGACGTGGTTTACCGGGAACTTTGCTCTTTTTGTTCTCTGTCAACTTCTCCAAATCTCTTTCATGGGCGATCTAACAGGAAGAAAGCTTTGATGAGCTGTTTCGATGACTGCACCGTGTGTCATGCTGACATGGATGTTTTTAAACACATGGATAAAACTGACTCACACTTAATACTGCAGGTGCTGTATTGTTGATCCTGTGTTGCATCATACTACGTTCAGTAAGATAACAGAATTTTGGGGCTTTTTCTTGCTTTGGGGGAAATGTTTGAAAATATATGGAGAGCTAACACTCAGTGCTTGTGTCATTTGTGCCTGATTCAAATGTGCCTCAATGGGGTCACATGTGGTCACCTCAACATTTCAATTTCAAGTGACATAATTTTAATTTTTAATACGAACATTTTCCTGGTTTGAATGAGAATATTTGATTTTTAATATAGTGGTTATACGTGATTATTGATCATGTTCATCTAAGGAAGAGGTTTCACCTGTCAGCTCCTTCACTTCTACAGGAGTATATCATCAAACATATGACAGCTTTGCTATTGTCTCTGCATTAAAACATAAAATAAGGATTATTTACAAAAGTTTTGCAAATCAAAACGTTCCAAAACATAGCCTGAAATACTTGAAGGCTTTCGGGAAAGGCAGCGGGAAGGTGCACACCACAGGAATGTACTCATGAGTCTGTACAGATGAAAAAAGTGATGAAATGTAATTTTACTGAAGGTCTTGTTATGGTCTTGTTAATTACACCTTAGAACACACATGCATCAACACTACAATGAGCGGGTGGAGGGAGGTTTGGAGTCTTCTCTCACCCCCATTCTCTGCGGCCTGCTGGAGCGGGGGGGAGGAGGAGTTGGCCGTCCGACTGCGGTCTGGAGTGTGGGGCCTCCCTTGCTGCTGCGGAGTCGGGGCGGTCTGCCTCTCCCCACCGCAGGGACAAAGGGTAACCACCACCGTGGTCTGGGCTGCCAGCTCCCCCCTCACAGGGGCGGAGGGCACCACTAGACCACAGGCTATAAGAGTCTACGCTGTGGGGAAGTGTTGAAATCCCGTCGGTGATCGTACCAGCGTCTCTTTACATGCGCGTCCCTGTGCTCCGACGCTCCCTGGCACGCTTCACGCGCTGCTGGCGCAAGTAAGTGCATCACTGCAACCGCAGGCATAGAAGGTTGGGGAATGGATGCTTATTGGTGTCTGCAGCAAGCCTGGAGTGTGTGCCTGATCCGATGTCAACCTCCCTACCTCGTGTTCTACGACTAGGTGTCA